TAGATCTTTGGTCTAGATGGGAGTGGTAGGAGTCTAATAAAATAAATAAAATAAAAATATTGGCAGAACCACTGAGCCTGAACTAATGCCTTTGAGGGTGATGTTCTGTTCCAACAGTAATCTGGGAACATGTATCTTTTAAACCTAAATGCTTTATGTTGTCAATAAAAGTAGTCTCTCCAGAGTTGTCCAATAAATCCTGATTGCACTTGATTAGGAAACATTGTACCACTCTGGCTTCAGGAATTTCTGGACTCTCTGCCAAGCCCGTTTCCTTAGCAACAGCGCTGCTGCTAACTTCAGCTGCTGAAGACTGAAGAAGAAATGCTTTTTAAGGCTGAATGTAATTTCCACTTTTAGGCTGACTAAAATTCCTATTCTTTTGAGTTTCACGTTGAGCCCAAAAATGTCCATCTTCTCCACAGGAAAAACACCTCTTAATAGCCTTAGGATCAGAATAAATGGTTTTATTAACTTTTCCCTCAGGATTATTTGATTTCAGGGGACTGTTATCTGGGGATGAGGGCTCTAAAATGGCTTCCCTTAGCTTGTGCCTGACTGAGGTAACTTTTGTTTTTACTAAATTTACTCTTGTCCCACATTTTCCTACCAAATTTTACCTCAGAAAATTGAGGATCTCTGATCTCACTAATAGAATCAGCATATTCAGATGCCTGTAGCACATTTTTAGAATCCTTGTCCTTGACCAGATAATGCAATTCCTTTTCATATGATCTAAGGTAGAGACACATTCCTGTTCCAGCCATTTATTGAGACACTGTGTCAAACGTGCCCCAAGTTGGGTAAAAGACTCCTCAGGTTTCTTTGAAATTGATCTAAATCTGAGTTGCTCTGAATTACAGTAATCCCTGTAGCAAGCACGCTGGAGCCTCTATTCTCTCAGGCCTCCAGGGGATGCTCACTCTTCTTCTCAAATTGCTGCCACCAGGTATTGCTGTTTCAATACCAATCAATCACTGAATCATGCGTTTCTTTAAAACTTAAACTTGTTTATTTGATCAGTAAAATAAAATAAGTAAATCACAAGTGGTTAATCAATAACTCTCTCTCACTGACACACAGACTCTTCTCTCACTGACTTTTTGGCTCACAGGCCCACAGACTCATTAAGTCTCCACACTAATCTCACATCTCTCCAAACTCCCCCTTCATACACCATACACCCTCATTTATATCCCAGCTCCTCCCCCTTTAGCACCACCTTCCGTCCCCTCATTGGCTGCTGTTCCACTGCACAGCTTTGACGGACAGGTGAGGGCAGGGCTGAACGCTACAACGCTACAATCCCAAATTGAGAATA